ACCTATGTCAGGCACATTCGTATGTGCCTCATGCAGAATGCAGGACGATGGATCAGAGCCTGCAGCAACGGGCATCCATTTCGAGGGTGTCCGAGACACGAGTTGAAAATTCTGCGTTTTAGGTCAACGGTTCGGATGGATCTCTGCCTGCCAGGCAATCAGAGTCATCTAGGGCTTTCAACCCAGCCGTGGAACCCAGCTGCTTTTCGAATCAGTGTCAGCGCGGCCTCTTGTCAGTAACGTGGAGATCTTTTGCAAGCCTCCGAACACGGTGTTTGGCCAATCCAAGCGAAGAGAAGCACGACCCCAACTTTGTTCCCATGCTGTGTTCCTCCAGTGGACTGGGTGACTGGCGCTCGATCTGCAAAGCAGGGGTTTGTATGGGCAACCGAACCGGACAAAACAACCACTCAGGTCATTGTAATCATTTCGTGAGCGCTGAGAGGTTCCATGATGGCGCGACCACTCAGAGGCATATGCATTGGCGTGGGGCATCACCACTTCATCACTGGAGGCTTTCGCGCCGTGGTGACCGCGACCGCTCTAGCTTGGAACCGTGGCGCTTTGTGACCTGAGAATGGGCGATGTGATGACTTCAATGTTTTTGTTGGCTGGTCGAGCCGGAACTGGTTACTAAGACTAAGTGCGAGCAGCCGACTGAGATGGCCCTTGAGAGTCCAGAATGGCAGCCGGCCAGGATTGTGGTTCAGAGGCCTGTTCTTGGTCGGCAGGCAAGGAAGGCCCTTTGGTGCCATTCCATTCGGCTTGCCATGACCCACAACCCAGGTATTGAGATTGCAAGCAGCTGGCAAGATAAATCGGCGGAGCCACTTTTTCTTCTCGGTTGTACCTGCTGGCTTGATGTCCATCAAGCGCCGTCCGAGCATCTCCCAGCACTGATGCTCCTGGCAGGGAAACCTCTTGGGACCCGCGTCGCAACAAAGACCCTGTGGCTGCAGTGGCTGAAGTTGTGAGCAAAGAAGTGCTGGCTTCGCCAACGCCGCCGATGGCCACTTGTCAGTTAGGTGTCAGCTATACAGACCGCCGTTCCCTCGCAGCCGCTATTGAGTCGTTACCGTAACTAGTCGATGCTAGCTCAACGGCGCCACCGGGCTCCAACGTTGGAAAGAGGGCGTTTCGAGACAAAGCGATGAGTATCTTCACTTGTTGCTATTGGCTGCGTCGCCCCAAGGGTCTCGTTGCTTCTGTTCTTATCGTTATAAAATCGGTGAATCCACAAACAAGCAGGGAGTTGACGGGTTGCCTCTTATCCAGCCGCAAAAACGACGTAATGGCCAGGGCATTATTCAGCCCTAAAGCCGGCCGGTCGCCTTCTCGCCCTCGTTGCGTCACGGCATCGTCGATCCAGGGTGACCATGTCGGCCTTTCAGAGGCCATGACCATGTTGACAGACTTTCAGAGGCAGTGGCTGCGCAAATTCAACTGAGTGCAACGTTCAGGCTCGACAGTGGGTCAACGTGGCAAGAAATCGTCAACCTGCTGTTGCGCGTTATTTTGGTCGCGGCATAGAATCCGATAGAGGGGCTGATGAGTGCCGAAGCGCACAAGGCGCCAATTACGTCGACTCTTGTTAGTATTTCATCTGTGCACCTCGAGCTGCACGCACGTCCTAGCCGACTTTCCAGCCTCACTAGAAGGCTGGAATATCTTCAGCTCCCGTTCAGCTAACTCGGACTGACTAGGCAAGCGAGCTTGGAGACGGTTCGTCCGCCTTGAAACGTTGGTCAGGGCACCAAGCAACAGGAAGCTGGCGGAGTAGCTATGTCCATTCGTCGTGGTCCATCGTGTTACTAGAGAACCCATATGCCCACTGAGGCTGCCAACAACCTGGTAGTCTTCGGCGATGAAAGAAGCCGAAAGAAGCTGCACCCGATCAATCACTGTCAACGGGTGGCACCTCGGCGTCGCGATGTCCAGGATTAGGGTGAGACATGCGAATGCAGTGTAACCAGGAACACGACGGTGGGAGGCATTTGACTGGCAATGTCTTGCCCGCTGCCGTGCCGAGGGGGCGGGCGATGTGGGAGGCGAGGGATCTGAGTCAACTGGCGGTCGGTGGTGCACCCGATACGCGCCACAGCAGACAGGACAGCATTGACATCAGGCCCTTGTTAAGCCCCGAGGCGTGAACGGTTGGTAGTGGCTGGTCTGAGGGGGTGGCATCGGCGGGACGCAGCACTGTTGGCATATTGCGGGTGACGACACTCGTTTGGTCAATGGGAGGTAACGTGCTTCGTTTGCAGGGTCTTGGTGCTCTGTGAAGAATCTGCCGGATGTTGGTTAGGGTATGTAGTGTCGGGAGGAGACAAGAGGGTTCAAGTGAGGTCAATGTCCAGATCGAGGTCGAAGACGGGGCCGCGCTGTCGAGAGAGAAGGCCGGCGTCCAGCGGCCACGGCGGCAAGAGCACATGACTTCACTGGACGTGCAACAAGAGGTCCACGTTTAAAGCACGGCAGGCACGTATCCCGACATTGGGAAAGTACCCCTCGTCTGGTCGCCCCAATCCGAGGGCCTCGTCCATGCCCTCGAGCTGAGATGGCCGTCTTCGTGGTAGGTATCTTTCTCTATCCGCCCGGATCGACCTCATCTTGTAAATACGGACAACCGCAGGTTAGGCCACTGACTGGTTCCTCTCGAGATTACTTATTGATCTGGGAAACGCCGCAAGGTCGGACAAGACGATGACGAGAACAGGGTGGAGGCGGCTTTCCCCCCTCGAATGCGGCGGGGTCGGGGGAGGGCAGCGATGGAACAGCAGCAGTCGGCAACCAAGACCGACTATGGACAACGGGCGCGCTGAACCAACCACACAATATCCATCAAGCCAGGGGCCAGCTGTGCTGTGCCCCTCGCGTGATGAAAGCCATTGATGAATGAGGGATTGCAGAAGCACATTTCCCACCAACCCAGATAGTGAGTCCCGTTGGAGGCACCCGCGAATGCTTTCAGCACATTCATCGACACGGGTGGTGAGCGTTGTGAGTGGTGAATGGTTTGGCGGGACCTACAGATGCAGTGGACAAGTGCTGAACATGGCCGGGCGGAGGTCCACTGAGCACACATGCTGAGGCCGGTCTGCGGTCCTCACTGGGCGAGCGTCTGTCATGGCCGGTGGGGCCACGCGACGGGCGGCCAGGGGCACCTTAACTTGAGGTGGGGTTCTTGGCCACACAACATGGAGCGTCGGTTAAATCGAGGACCGCCCATGTGGGCAGCGCCTTCCACTCCACCTCCAACCCCCGTCTCCACCATAAACACACGCCCCCCCAAAGGTCTGTATTCACGGCAGCTCTCTCGTCCACCCTACCCTCCTCTTCTCTTTCTGGCCTGCGCCTGTGGTCCGGCGCTCCTCGTCGTCGTCCTGCTGCTCCTTTCTTTCTCCTCCCCCTTTGGTTCTACTTCTTCCCCTTCCCGGTCCCTGGCCCGCATCCACACTACACCCCATCGGCCATCGTCCTCACTCCCAAACCTTCAGGTACCTAGTCGAGTCCCTCCGTGGACTGCAATAATACAACTGCCAAACCGCTCCTGTGCCTCTCTGCCATCCTTGGCCTGGTCCATCAATCCCTCAATTTTTCGCCCGTACGCTAACATCCACACCCCTGCAATGAGGTCCGCGGCTTCCCCAATAGGCCATGCATACGTCGATGCATCGCCTCGCACGAGGCACAGACTGAGAGAGAGCTCTGTCCTATGTAGGGTCGTGGCCCGGAGAGGGACATCGGGAGTTTTCCTACGAAGACACCCTTCATTGTCGACCGCGTCCCCCATTGGCCCCTGCCCACCTTCAACAGCCCTTGTTAATCCAAGAGTTGGCCGACCCATCACACGCCAATACCCGTTCCCGAGTCCTGCCTGGTCCATGGGAGTCGTGGTACCCCGGCATCTCTGGCCTGGACCCCGGGGGCCAGCGCCGCGACTGGTTGAACAGCAAGACTGCACCCTAGGCAGACCGGCCGAGAGACAGAGAAACACCCGCGCCATCTGCAGCAGCTCTTCGTCCACGCATCGTTGTACATAATGCCGTCCCACCCACCTACTTCCAGCCCCGTGTCCCTTGACCGGTTCTGGACTCCTTTGTCGTTGCTTCTGCTCGAGTCTCTCCTTGATACCACGAGTTGCTGTTGCTGCGGTACTGCCATCCGCCTTGTCAGCTTCATACACGGACCATGACGAGATCAACATAGCCAGAAGCCGCCGCCCTGCTTTGTTGCACACCCTCCTCGCCAACTCACACGCCGACTTACACGTCGACACCCTGCTTGATACGACCGAGCAGAATCGAAGCATTCACAGGGTCCGAGCAACCGCGATCCTTGGACCTCAGCGGGACTGAGAGTGGTCCTTGGATAGAGACCGGAAGGCATCCCCCTTTTTCAACCTCGAGCACCCTCACAAAAGGGTTGTTGCTCCCTTTAAACATTCGCGCGACGCCGTTTTGCTTCAGCAGACCACTACCAGCACATCCGGATTTGGCCCAGCATACGGACTGCTTAAGGGAAGGCAGATCACCAGACGCCCCGTTACTGCTTCAGTAACGACCGAGTGTCCACGGTCCTTTGAACATCGTAACCAACAACGAAATCAGCTGCTCAAAAAGGTGTTCTCTAGTATGGCCAACTTAACTTTGGCCAGGGGAAACTGCCCTGCGCCGTTCTACGATGTGAACTTTTTCCCCGACGACGAAGGGTGTAAGTCTTGATTACGCCATTTTTGTGGGCGGAGTTGTTGACTTTCCGTAGTTATCGATGGCAGGCTGTGCCAAAATCTTACTGCGACTATGCAATGTTGCTTGCCCTGCCCTCTCACTGACTGGGTTTACCCCGAATATTTCAACACTCTGACGACGGCCGCCAACTGGGTCTGCGTCGCCAGTGCAGCATGCTGTCTCTTCCTCTTGATATCATGGGCTGTCTTGCCTGTTGATAAAACCTACAGACACTACTTGAGCATCTGCTTGACAATAGCAGTGCTTATTATGAATGTAAGTCACTCAGACTCAGCGCTTGCCACTTGCGACTGACCCTGTCAGCTTGGTTTCGTTGTTCCTCTGGCCGACCAGCCGGAACAATGCTACAACGCAATCACGCCGCACAGCATGAAGTCCAGCAAGGTCTGCGGCGCTTCTGGCGCTTTCCTCTTGCTTGGAGGTTGGGCTGGTGTCATGTGGGTCTTCCTGCGATCGTTGTCCCTACATCTCCAGATCTGCTGGCAAGTCGTCGTGGGTCGAAACTTCATGATCTTTGCACAAGCCACGGGCTGGGGCATTCCCCTCATTGGCATCGTCGTTGCGCTCGTCTTCAGCGGCGTCTCGTTCCGCTTCGGTGCCACCTGCCATATCAATCATAAGAACAGTCTCGCAGACTTCTGGATTCCTCTTTTGGTCTTTGCTGGCCTCACAGTCATCATCCAGTTCGCCACCTTTGGATACTGCATCAAGGTTTACCTTGCCTCGTTGGCCGACAACAGTGCATCGACTGAAGGATCAAGCCTCCCCACATACACCAACAGCATTCAGACCATGAGCCCCCGCCAGGCGTATCGACGAGTACGACGCGTCATCCAACTCCAGTGGAGAGGCATCGCCATTGTCCTGATTATTATCGCCGACGTCGTCTTCTTCTCTGTCGTGTTTGTCTTTCAGGACAACACGGTCCAGGCAGTACACGACGACCAGAGCAAGGCTCAGGATTGGGTTTTATGCCTCATCGGCGCCAAGGGCGATCGAACCAAATGCTATGACCAGGCCAAGTCACTGGTTGTCAACGAGGCAACCATCACGGCCGTCTTGATTCTTCTTGCGGTAAGAAACGTCTTATACTGTATCGTACCCGAAACAACCTGCTGACTTGTTCTCAGATGAACGGAATCTGGCTGCTGTTCCTACTAGGCCGCTGGGCTATGGTCCTCGGATGGGTAGACCTATTCTCCTCCTGCCGAGGCAGAAACAAGGAGTTCGTGTCGGTGGATGCCCGATACGATGTGAAGAAAGATACCCGTGCGTACGAGATGCTGTCGAAAGACTCGAGCGCTGTTGTAACACCAATCTCCCCAGTCAAATCACCCGTTACAAGCCCCAACAGCGGACGAAGAACCCCGATTACTTTGGGCAAACGGCTCGCTACCAGCCGCCGATGCGGTCTTTTTCGAGCCCTCGGCCGCCGCAAACACCGCCGACCTGGGACGCACGGGCAACCTACGCCCGGCCCGAGTCACGAGCCCGAGGGACGGGTTCGAAGACATGAACCCACTTGGGATGAACAGGATATAATGAGACGACACAGTCGACGACGATGGAACGAAAGTAAAAAAGTAAAAAATAAGTAAACAAAAAAGGTAAACAAAAGCTCAAGCCAAGACTAAAAGAAAGAAGATCGCGGCAAAGGAAGACAGTAGGCTCGACTTCAACCTTATTACTTCCCGCGCCACGACGACCCAAACGGAAGCGTATGTTCGGCCGAATCACTCAGGCCGTCCGTGCTGATGGTTAAATACCAGCTAGCGTCAAGAGATGATGTAATGTGGAGGAACCAGCGGCCTTGTCGGGCCAAGATATTGAGGGAAACCAATGTAATATCAGCGTCGGCGTCCCGGACTTGTTTAAGCAGCGAAAGAATGCGAACAATTGTAGATCCCCACATTTCAAAGGTTAAAAAAGATATGGAAAGGTCAGTGGCACGAGCCTCACTCAATGTCAGGCCTCGACGCACCGGGCGGAGAGGGGAACGGGAAGAGCGGAACGAATGGGTTCACGGACATGTAGAAGCATTCGCGAGTCCGAAAAATAGAAGCGTCACGCGACAATCTAATGCACAATGGCCTTATCAAGCATTGGTCTACATGACGAGCAGCCCGGTGAGTGGAGGCAGAGGGAGACTGCCGAGCAAGGATTGGTGAGTCCGCGGCGGGATAAGCTTGTCCGGAACATGCGGAATGGACGGATTCATTAGCGATGCGAGCGAGGAGCGGGACAAGCCAAAGAAACCTCAGCAACGAGATGGAGCGGTGTCCATTAAGCCAGTGCCATGTCATGTATCCCAAGGCTTCCGCTCCGGCTTCTTCGGAGACGAGGATTTTGTTGGCTTATGTGATGTAAGCGGGAGTGCATTGTTTAGATCGGCGATAGACGGACCACTCGATCCATCTGTGCTTGTCCCTCTATTATAAGTAGATTAGACATCCGAAAGGGAGGAAGTTGGCAGTTGGCGTTATTTTGACATCTCGACCTCCTCCAGTGTGCTTTGACGAGAGAACGGCAACGTGCATGAACTGACGACGGCAAGCCGATCCAAAACAAACAGTTGATCCTAGCTTGTGCCCAAAGACACTCACTCGACTCCTTGCGTGTTCCGAGCTTGTTGACCGTCTCTTGAGGATTCACTTGATTCAAGAGTACGACAGTGAGACCAGAAACGTCTTGCCGGTTCTCAAACCGTGGTTGTTCGAGGATTTTTTGTTTGGACTAATATCACAGTCGGGCAAAAATAAGGCGGGAGGGAACCACCCCGAGAGCGAGGCCACCCGACATTAGCGGAACCTGACCGAAAAAACCTATTCCCCACCGAGACGGAGCAGACTCGACGGCCTGACAACGACGACTTGGACGGCGTTGTATTCATCGCAATACTTGCTGGACAACGGCCAAGCGAGGCGGAAAGAAAATCAAGAAACGAAACGAGCACCACGACCTGTTGCACGACTAGTAAAACAGCGTTTTGAGTGCGTGCGTGCGTTCCCGGGCACGTGGCTGACAGCACTCTGCCTTACACCTCATTGTGCGAGGGCAGAAGAAATAGAAGCATACTTTGGAAAAAAAAAAGAGAGAGAGGGAAGGCTCAGGGGTGTGTGTAAAGTCGGCTTGTTTAGTTATCGGCATCATCGGGACAAGTACTGCCACCAGTTTTCCCAACGAGTTGGAGCTTTAGTCGTACAACAGGGCTGCCGCTGGAAACAGACTAGTGGAGCAGCCTGCCATCTGCCACCCACCAAGCTTACACTGACACTACCGTACTAACTCCCGGTCCGGCCAAGGGAGTCTCCGACCCGATCTCTCAAGGTGAGGCGGGAAAGCCTGGGATTCTCCTCCGGAGTTTTAGTAATGCCGATCCCCGGGACCTTCCACAAGCTGAACCCTGGTTTGCCGGCCAGGGTATGGCGCTGGAGCTCAGGACGTCCCCAATCTGGGACACGGGTTGATGACATCGAGCAACCGAGCACTCCGCCAGCCAGAGGCGGTGTCTACCTCCCGAGCATAGACGAATCTGCGACAACCGATCATGGAGCCTCCACCGGCCTCTTCTTCCGCAAGAGATCACCGTCGCCATCACCCTCACAACCAACAACAACATACTCGAGTTTACTAAGAAGGCGAACCTGCCACGTCGGCTTTGTCAAGCTCTCTCATTTCAGAATGTTCCTCATTCTGACCCTCGTCTTCCTCGGCGGCTACGTCCACTACCTCTGGAAAGCCGAGGCTGCCCTCGGCGTCGCGTGGGTGCCCGACCCGGAGGCCAGGCTATTCGAACAGCGGCCCCTCCAGCCCCCAATCAAGGAGACCAGTATCGACACGTACACGCTGCCGCTGCACACAAAGGGCCGCGACATTGTCGACGAGGAGGGCCGCCGCTTCAAGCTCCTGTCCGTCAATTGGTATGGCGCCAGCGATGAATTGAACATCCCTGGCGGGCTCGACGTCCAGCACCGCGACGTGATCGCGCAGACCATCCGCGGCCTCGGCTTCAACAGCGTGCGGCTGCCCTACAGCGACGAGATGGTCATCACCGACCCCCCCATCCCCGCCGAGCTGCTCACCGCGAACCCTGACCTTGTCGGGTTGAAGGCTCTTGACATCTTCGAGGCCTGCGTGACGGCATTGACCGACGCGGGCATCGCCGTCATTGTCAACAACCACATCACGCACTCGACGTGGTGCTGCGGCGCCGACCCTTGCGATGCCCACTGGGCCAACGACCACCTCGGCCCGCTGTGCCGCATCAAGCAGACCGAGGAGGACTGGATCCAGCACTGGGAGACCATCATGCTCCGCTTCGTCGACAACCCCCGTGTCATCGGCGTCGACCTGCGCAACGAGGTGCGCGGCGTCTGGGGCACAATGACCTGGGACAAGTGGGCTACGGCGGCGGAGAAGGCCGGCAACCGGCTGCTGGAGATGAACAAGGACTGGCTGGTCATTGTCGGCGGCACGGAGTCCGGCAACGACCTCACCGGCGTCGCCAAGCGGCCCGTCGTCCTCACTGTGCCCGACCGTGTCGTGTACTCGGCGCACGTCTACGCCTGGTCCGGCTGGGGAAGTCTAGAAGGGCGCTACTCGAAGCGCGGCTACGCGTCCTTTGTCACGTCCATGAGGCACAATTGGGCCTACCTGGTCGAGGGCGACCAGGCGCCCGTATGGGTGGGCGAGTTCGGCGCGCCGCACCAGCCCAGCATTGGCGACGCCAACTATTGGAACAACCTGCTGCGGTACCTCAAGGTCATCGACGCCGACTTTGGCTACTGGGCCGTCAACCCGCGCAAGCCAAAGGACAATGTCAAGGAAACATATGCCCTCGTCGAGGACGACTGGGTCACCCCTGTGCTGGACTACCGGATGAAGGACATGGTCGAGATCATGAGGGCTTAGTGTGCTCCGCAGTTCTGGCTGGACGACGTTCAGGGCGGCGGCCAGTGTTTGTCGGAGCCACGTATCTGGGAACTTTTGGCAACAATGTGCATTTGATATGAAAGAGAAGGTATTAAAAACGGCGTTTTGGGTTTCGGGTCTACTCAACGGGCACTGGATTTTTGTGTGCCAGCTTCGGATACCCGGCTTTGGTCAGGCACGAGCTAGACGATCACTGATGATTCTGTCAAAAATTTGGCGGTGACATTGTTACGAGGTTTGATACAAGCAATTGTATTCATGACAGTGTGTTCACCGATGAGCTGTGGCCTACGTCAATGCAACAATTTGGTCACGGACTGAAGACGATGAACTCAAGCTCAGACACCCGTGGCTGGGACGATGCAAGAAGCATCGTGTAGAAATGTCATCGGACCAATTTCACCATCAGATATCCATGCGCATTTAAGTGATATTAACCATGGGCCCCAAATCCATCGTGACTTCCCCTCATCAACTGGAATGTTTCCTCACCCGCCGGGCCTGCCCCCCACATGCGGACTCGCTGAAACGACCGACCCCTCCTCTCCAGACATGCACATACCGAGAGCAAGGTCCACCCAGCACCGCCGAGAGAGCTTACCTCTGGTGTTCTTATCGATAAAAGCACTGTACCATCATCTATCGATAAGATCATATTAAAGTGGACCCTCTCCCCTCAGTGGATGCGCCTGGGCTGGGGTGGGTGGGCATTTGACGACATGCGGACGGAAGGGAAGACGAATGAGCTGAGCAGAGAGCTGCGGGAGAGGCCATTCCGCCTGCCGCCTTCCACCACCCGCATCCCAAACGCTCTTATCATTTCCTCGTTCTTGCGACTTGCCCGCCGAAACGACTTTATCGAACAAGAGCGCGGCCCGCACCCAAACGAAACAAACTAACCTACGGGCGGCTCGTATGTCGCGCGCAAAGCACAAGGGAGAGAAAGACTCCAAGGCGCCGTAGATGGCGGGTCGACAGGGTCAGCTTCACGATCGCGGCTTCCGCGAGGTTGTGCTGGGTAGGTGTGAGGTGCAGACCTGCGTGGACCGGGTACGTGCGATGCCGGATTTCTTCTTCTGTTTCTCGACACTCTACCTTGAGGGCTTCGTCCCCGCTTGTCTCGTGGTTTTTTCTTGGCCCGGTCGCGATGCTAATTTTGGATGCAGTTTGGCGATGGAGCCACCGAGGTGATTCGACAACGCGAACGCGACCACATGAACCAGATCGAGACCGATACGCTTGTGCAGGGGGTTCCGGCCGGTCAAATCGTCACCGGTGCCGAGGAGGAAGGCGTGGATGGTTCGCAAGCGCCAGGCTTAGAAAGGAAGATACCGAAGACGCCGTACTTCAGGAACAACCTCACGGCTTTGTCGCAGAGATTCAACGTGTGTGACACTTTTGTCGACTGCCCTGGATGAGAGTTGGCTAACAATGCTCTTCCCAGCTTTACTTCGCCGCCTACGAGAACCGAATCTTCGTTTACCGTCCCAAGGGCATCCTGAAGCAGGCGCTCCCGCGGGAACCGAACCTCATCCTAGCCACGAAGCCCGACAAGGTTGCGCGACTCATTGGCGGCACGCTCGACAGACGTTTCCACCATCAGATCAACC